TTTTTTTTCTTCTTGTTTTCTTTCTGTCCTGCTTTAGATATATAGTAGACAAATTGACCACGGTCTTTTATGTTGCTATTGCATTTCCCTTCGTAACAGAAACCATCCAAAAGAAGAGCTATGACTTAGGGTGTAGGATAGGCAGGCTACAAAGCACTATGCCATCTTCGAAATAAGAGGCTCACCTTGGTAGTTAAATTGGATGGTTTAATTGGTTAATCACATCTAGATGTTGACGGGGCATTCTCTGATTGGTGTACTGTGGGATATTAGTATTCTTTTGACACATCATTAAGGATTTCGAGGCAATCGTTGGTGATACGGAAAGTGCATTTACATGTATTTGCAGCAGCCACATGCACCTATCATCTGCCCTATCAAGTGAAATTACTGTTCCATTTGTCCTTGTGGGAACTAGAAAGTGACTCATCGAGAGGCTTTTCTCTTATTCATTTACTATCAAATTAGTTAACTTAGTGTCAAGTAATTACATATTTGGGTTAAATAGAGTAGTCCCAGACCCAAAAAAGAAAGAGGATGAAAGAGTTGGTTCCTTGAAGATCTCTTTTGTATATGAACATTTATGGACTTTGGTAAAGGTCGTCCTCGAGCTAGGCTAGCAGAATGAATTACCAAATACGAGCATGGTCATAATCAGAAATAAATTTTGAAATTAAATGAGAACCACTTGTCTCTCTTCCATCTACCCCTTCCTTATGACCCAGGGCAGCAACTCTTTTCTCTCTCCCTCTCTCTCTCTTCCCCCATGTTCTAAGGTCCAGAAAGAGCCAGAGCAAGTCTTTCGACCCAAATTCATGCTCTCCCTTAAATGCTTTGTTACGGCTACGTCCGGCCATATTATTGTCAATACTACAGTACTACTAGTTCATTGACCGTACGTGAATTCCTTAATCACATCACCTACGTGCACGTAAACAACCCTAATCAATGTTTACAATATGCGCTAATTGTTTTAATGTTTGAACAGACGTGCTCGACTGAAGACAACGAAACGTGTATTGTACAGACCAAAAATATGACATTGAAATTAAGATTATAGGACAATATAGTAGGTAAAGTTTTCTGGTATTTGAAACGTGATAGCCATTCCAACTTTCCCAACATAAAGCCTTTCTACTTTTTCTTCTCTCCTTTGGTAATCCCACTTTAGGTTATAAGTGGAATCAACCATGTTGAATGATCTGTCGAAATTGTAATGAATTTGGGCACTATAAGTTACTATAGTTGGATGTCCTTTTAAGCAGTATAACATGCCTGGATGTTGGCTGATAAGTGATCGGTACTTCAACAATAAATTCCATGTGCCTGGCACTGATCAGCATGAACCTCATGGGCCAAAAGGGTTGCAGGTTTTCAAAAGAAGGCGACACCATGTTCTGTGATTGAAATTTGTTAACTGAATATGGAGGATGAAAACAGATACAAATATTGAAGTGGGTCTTGCATAATCACCGAAAGGCAGTGATTACCTGACTATCATAGGGTTTCGATAGAAAATGACCTCATGCTGAACGAGGCACATGAAGGCCATGTTACCTTTGCCCCCCTCTCGAAAACTTCTCCTCGAGACAAAATAGCTAGGTCCATCAGGGTCTCTCATGTCATTCTCAGTATTTCTTCATATGCTCTGCATATCTTAACAGGAGATCAAGCCCCAGAATCAAGCTAGCAAGGATAATTCTTCAATTAATTATACTGATCCGTTTGCCTTATTTGAGCAATCAGATGATCCAGAACTTTACCTGTTTTTATTAATCCTGA